TCTCGGTGACACCTCAGTGCTGAGGTGCTGAGATCCCACAGTGGGGCACCCAGGGGGAGACTGGAAAGCAGGAGATTTAAGGGATTTAAACATTTCCAAGGGTGCCAGAGCAACGGAAGGAACAAGCAGAGTTTATTCATTATCCAAGTGTCCTGCAGGGACAATTCCAAAGGGGATGCTGTTGGGGCAGTATTTTATGGACTACTGAGGTGTTTGCAAGGACAAGCAGCACTGAGGAACTCAGGGCTGGGCTGGGCTCCCCCTGCTCAGGATCCACTCCCAGGGAAAGCACTCTGAGCAGATTTTTAAGCAGCAGAAGGCAGAACTTTGCTGCCTTCTTTGTTTTTATCCCAGCATTTCCCTCCAGGTTTTCCATGGTTTGTGGGAAGGGAGAACAAGAGGCTGCACAGCCCTCAAGGACTCTGATAAACAATCCAGAGCAGAGGAGGGAAACAATTCCATGAAATACAAACCCCCCTTAGAGCAGCAGTGAGGGCTCTGGTCCCAAAATGGGGGAAGGAAATGCAACAGGGGGATTTAATTCCCTCTGCTTTGGCACAAAAACACAGTGTGGGCTCAGAGATAGGGATATTCCTCTAGGATTTCCAGAGATGGGAATGCAGAGAAGTCAGGAAATGGGAGGCTGAGGAGAGTCAGGCCATGGCTGAGCCCCTGCTCTCAGCTTTGGGCACAAAGGGCTGCAGAGGTGCCCACAGAGCAGCACCAGGCTTTGGAGGGCACAGTGAGGATGATTTCACTGTCTAACCCAAACATTCCCATCATAATTCCATTTATTTGGATGTGTACTGAACCCCAGATCATCTTTGAACAACAGTGATTTCCTCGTCTTGAGAAACTACAACAAATTCCAAAGTATTTTCTTGCAATTCTTCTCCCAGTTTTCATCTGTTGCTTGTTTTTCTCTATCCTATATAGATTCCATGATTAATTTATTATCATTTCTCATCCCATTGGCACCCCCAGTCCTGCTGATTAATTTCTGTTACAACCTCATTAATTCCCTTCTATAAATACTTCATTTCATTTTACTGCTTTTTTATAGTTAACTTTGCTTTTTGTCCTCCACCTGGGGCTCTCACTTTCAATTTTCCACGAGGCAGTGGGCAAAGCCTGAGCTGAGATGCAGTAATTACACCTCCCTGCCCTGGCAAACAGAATCATTTATTTTCCTTATGGATGGAGGCAGCTGGGAGCTGCTCTGCAATCCCACAGCAATCCCCCAAAAAACAATTCTTCTGCCTTGCCAGATTAATAATGGAAACTGCTGGCTTCTGGAATCTGAGAAACCCATGGAGATGGATTACAATATCCTGCAACATTTGCATGGAGGAGAGGTTGACTCACAGCCCAGGCAGGCAGATCTGGTTCCACCTGCAGGAATATTAAAGCAGCAGCCAATCCATCACTGCCACAGCAGCTCAGATCCAAAATCATTGGAATTCTGGAGCTGACTGCCCACAGGAGGCTCTCCCAGTTCTTCACCCACTGGAGTTATGATCCATTCAGTCTTTCCACCCCTTCAGCCTTTGCCACAAATCCCTGGGATCCTCTGAAGGTTTGGGAAAGCTGCTGAGTGCTTCTCCTAGAAGTGTGAGCATGTCCTGAAACAGAAAGCAAACATGGGATAATTCAGGATTGTATCCCTGCCATTTCTCATGGCCTGCAGCACACACCCCAGCCAGAGGGGCAGCACTCCTCCACACACTTTGGTGGCTTTGAAAGGATTCTGATTAAAAACTCTGGTCCAAAAAGCAGGATTCTTCCCTGAGGAGGGACAGGGAAAAGCAGCTGGCCTTGCATGGGGGAAAAAAGGGAAAAAGTGAAGCTTCACCTGAGGCTGAAGCTCTCAAATCTTAGGTAGGGAGTGAAGTAGAGTCAAAATGCTGGAGAGTGGAATTACACTAGGGAAGAAAGGAATGTGTGGTACAGCACAAACTCCCAGCTTGTTCAACATGGGAAGAGAGCTGGGAGCTGCAGGAAGGCTCCTCCCTTCAGGCTGCCCCTCCCAAGGAGGGAAAGAAGAGCTCTGCCATCAGGAGGATGTGTGACGGTGTTCACAGGGGTCTGAGGGTGAGGGAAGAGATGAGGATCTGACTCCAGGTTTCAGAAGGCTGATTTATTATTTTATCATATATATTATATTAAAACTATACTAAAAGAATAGAAGAAAGGATTTCATCAGAAGGAAAGAATGAAAGCAAAGGTTTGTGACTCTCAGAGAGTCTGAGCCAGCTGACTGTGATTGGCCATTAATTAGAAACAACCCCATGAGACCAATCCCAGATGCACCTGTTGCATTCCACAGCAGCAGATAACCATTGTTTACATTTTGTTCCTGAGCCCTCTCAGCTTCTCAGAAGGAAAAATCCTAAAAAAAGGATTTTTCAGAAAATATCATGGCCACAAGGATCCTCCTGAAGAGCAGCCACAGAGGCCCAGGGAATCCTGCACATTTCATTGCTCCCCCAGCTGCTCCAGAGGCAATTCCTACCCACAAAGCTTCCATCCCTGGGACACTGGCACAGAGACAGGAATGGCCAGCAGAAATCTCAGAGTATCCCAGAAAAAACCCCAGTATTGCAGAAAAACCTCAGCCTCCACCACACACTGCAGTGTCCAAGATTCCCCAAGGGTGAGCAAGGAAGCCCAGTAGGGGCAGTCACCTCCTGTCACCTCATTTAATTTGCAATTTCAGCTTGGACAGAAAACAAACTGGGGAGGCACAATCAAAAGGGAGCCAAACCTTCAGCTTCCAGCAGCTCCAATGACTTGAGGAGAATGTTGGTCCCAAGCATTTCATTACTGAAATGGACCCAAATTCTATTTTGGTTTGCACTGATCTCACTGCAGGGAGAATCTGAATTACAGATTCTTTCATTACAGCACCTATAAAATGTAGCATGAATTTTTTTTTTCAGCAATATTTGCTTACCCTGGAGTAAAACTGTTCTTCCAGTTTCTCTTGGATTAAAGCACCTTCCAGCAAAGTCTTTTTTTGCCTGAGAAAGGCAACCTTGGCCAGCTCTGCTTCCTTCTGCTGGCAGCCAGGACAGGTTGAAACCTCATGGATTTCAGCTTCTGTCACCTGCAAGAGGAAACTTTGATGCCATGAGCAATCTCTGGCCTGGCAACTTTGAGAACAATCAATAAAAATACACTAAAGACAAAAACTGGCTTTTTAGGCAGTGCTAAAATAATTCAGAGTCACAATTCCATCATCTCTAACTGCTCCTGTGTGCAAGGCTTTAGGCAGCAACCAGAGGGGCTATGATTATAAATGATATTTATACATTTTATAAATAAATTAAGAGGCAAATAAACTCTGAGCCATTAGTTCAAACATGCAGCTCTGAGGCAGGATCCAGCCCAGACTCTGCAGCTCTGTGTGTGAGATAATCAGTGCTGCTCAGTGATTCCTGGGTCAGCTTATCCACCAGGAAATCTTGAGCTTATTTAACAGCATTACACAAATCCCAGGGTTTGTGCTTTTATGAAATATCAATGGTTTTATCTGATCTAATTGACTCAGATTCCAGCTGGCTCCACAAACACATTCAATTGCTACAAAGAGAGAGGAATCAGCCCAAGGAAGTCCCATCCCAGCCTCTCTGGCCCCTTTGCCTTGACTTCTCTGCACAAAAATGTTGTGTGGAGCTACAGACAGAACCAAGCAGGTGAAGACACTTTTCTCAGGGAATGCATTCCCACAATGGAAGACAAATAAAGAGAAAATAAAAAAATCCACTAAATTTGCAAGGAAGGTTAACATTAACAGAAATTTAAAAAGCAGATGGCTGAAATGTCAAAATTGTTTTAAAAGACAGGAAGGCTGAAATAATTATCACATCAGAACTGACTTGAAAGTGTTGTTTTTAGGTGCTGGGCTGAGGGGAGGAGCTGGGGCATAAAACCCATCCTGTGGTGGGAAAAAACCACTGGGCTGGTGACAAAAAAAGAGATTTGCCTAGGGTAACGATGAGACAGAGGCTGGGGTCAGCAAGATTTTATTGGAACAGTTTTTATCAATATTATCTAATACCTGAGAAAGCTGGGAGCACAGGGAGGGTCTGTTTTCGGAATTCTTCTAATCCTGGAGTCCCAAAGGCTTCACAACAAATAATAAGCAGAATAATTTGATAAATAACAGGGCCAAACACAATCAGAGAAAAAGGCTTTTTCCTTCAGCTGGCCCAGGGCTTCTTGTAAAATAAATGATGACCCCAGCCTTGCTCAATCACACAAATCAGGATTTTATCAGCAGACAACAGTTTATGGTGATTATTTGCTAGCATCTAAAGTGATGTATTGTGACAGTGTTCACAGGGGCCTGAGGGTGAGGGGAGAGATGAGGATCTGACTCCATGTTTCAGCAGGAGTTTTCATTATTATTTTATGATATATATTATATTAAAAGTATACTAAAAGAATAGAGGACAGGATTTCATCAGAAGGCTGGCTAAGAATAGAAAAGGAATGGAATGATAACAAAACCTTGTGTCTGGGACAGAGAGTCCAAGCCAGCTGACTGTGATTGGCCATTAATTAGAAACAACCACATGAGACCAATCCCAGATGCACCTGTTGCATTCCACAGCAGCAGATAACCATTGTTTACATTTTGTTCCTGAGGCCTCCCAGCTTCTCAGGAGGAAAAATCCCAAGGAAAGGATTTTTCATTAAATGTGTCTGTGACAATGTCTAAGAAATGAGAAGATTAAACCTTGGGCTGTCAACCCAAAACCTCTTCCAGAGGCCTGAGCCTGGCATCAGTAAGGTCTGCCTGCCTCGATCCTGTTATTATGGTTTATTTCTGAAGCATATCTCCCAGAATTTCGGGGAAACGTCCCTTTGTGTGGCCCAGTACCTGTTTCAGAGCCTCCCTGGTGTTTTCCAGCAGGATCCTGTTCATCAGCTGGGCAGGAACAGCACAGGGCTGTGCTGGCTCAGCCTGCCTTGCTGGGGCCCTGCAGTGCAGCCGCCTGTCCCTGCATGCCTGCTGCTGCTGCTGCTGCTGCTGCTGCATGCTGCTGATCCTGCTGCTGCAGAAACGGCCCAGGGCTCCCAGCTCGGCCTGGGACAGCCCAGAAACTCCTGCAAGCAACAGGGAAAGGCGTCAGGGGCTGTGTCAGGGACAGAGGAACGGCAGCTCTGCAGCCGCCGGAGCTCCTGAGGGCCAGGCAGGGCCAAAGGCAGGGCCAGGCCCCGCCTGCGGCAGCGCAGGGCTGAACACGTGAGGGGTGTGAGGGCAGCTCCGGGAGCTGCACAATAAATGGCCCTAAAATCGAAATTTAAACACAAATCTGCATAGGAGCTGCAGGAACCTGCACAATGAATGGCCCTAAAATAATAATTTACACAAATGGAGATGAGAGCTGTAGGAACAGCTCTGAAATCGAAATTTAAACACAAATCTGGATGGGAGCTGTAGGAGCCTGCACAATAAATGGCTCTGAAATCAGAATTTAAACACAAATGGGATGGCAGCTGTGGGAACCTGCACAATAAATGGCGCTAAAACAGGCTCCAAAATCAGAATTTAGACAGAAATAAGGAAGGGAGCTGTGGGAACCTGCACAATAAAAGGCCCTAAAACAGGCTCCAAAATCAGAATTTAAACACAAATGGGACGGCAGCTGTAGGAATCTGCAAAATAAATGGTTCTAAAATCAGAATTTAAACACAAATGTGCATGGGAGGTGTAGGAACCTGCACAATAAAAGGCCCTAAAATAGGCTCCAAAATCAGAATTTAAACACAAATAAGAATGGCAGCTGTAGGAACCTGCACAATAATTGGCTCTAAAACAGGCTCCAAAATCAGAATTTAAACACAAATGGAGTTGGGAGCTGTACAAACTTGCACAATAAACGGCTCTAAAAGAGGCTCCAAAATCAGAATTAAAACACAAATGTGTATGGCAGCTGCAAGAACTTGCACAATAAATTGCTCCAAAATCAGAATTTACACCAATGGAGATGAGAGCTGTAGGAACCTGTACAATAAATGGCTCTAAAACAGGCTCCAAAATCAGAATTTAGACAGAAATAAGGAAGGGAGCCATAGGAACCTGCACAATAAATGGCTCTGAAATCAGAATTTAAGCACAAATAGGGATGGGAGCTGTAAGAACTTGCACAATAAATGGCTCCAAAATCAGAATTTACACAAATGGAGATGAGAGCTATAGAAACGTGCACAATAAATGGCTCAAAAATCAGAATTTTAAACACAAATGTGCGTGAGAGCTGCAGGAACATGCACAATAACTGTCTCTAAAAGAGGCTCCAAAATCAGAATTTAAACACAATGCGGATGGCAGCTGTAGGAACCTGCACAATAAATGGTTCTAAAATCAGAATCTAAACACAATCTGGAGAGGAGCTGTAGGAATTTGCACAATAATTGGCTCTAAAAGAGGCTCCAAAATCAGAATTTAAGCACAAATCTGGATGGGAGCTGTAGGAACCTGCACAATAAATGGCTCCAAAATCAGAGTTTAAACACAAATGGATATAAGAGCTGTAGGAACCTGCACAATAAATGGCTCAAAATCAGAATTTAAACACAAACAGGATGGCAGCTGTAGGAACTTGCACAATAAATGGTTCTAAAATCAGAATCTAAACACAAATCTGGATGGGAGCTGTAGGAACCTGCACAACAAATGGCTCTTAAAGAGGTTCCAAAGATGGGAGGAAATAACAAGACAAAAGGTTCATGGCACAGGATAAATAGATTAGCAAAGCCAGCAGTTAAACACTAAGACATTAAATAAACTGGCTGCCAATAATGCAGATTTAGCACCTCACCACCTGAAACTGCAACTTGCTAAACCCAAATGAATTAATATATCAAGAGAGATCTCATCAATAACCCTAAGGAGCAATTTGTAAGAAAAATTAGAGGCAGTGTCCACTGAAGGCACCCTGGAAACACCTCCAATAAATTCCACAAACTCCAGCAAGGCCATTTTTTTGGGAGAAAATGCAATTAGAAAACACTTCTTATCTAAAGCTTCAACAATCATTTCCTAAATTCTTTAGGAGATCTTATTTCAAAACCATCATTCCCTCTTTCATCTTCCCTTATCCTTCCCAGGGGCACATAGAAATAAATAAAAGAGAGATTAGACTTCAGCTGGGTGGGTTGGGATGGATTTCCAGCTTCACTCAGGGCTTTGGGGGAGATTTTCCAGAGGCAGGGCAGCATTTCATGGCAGCAGCTCAGCATGGGGCTCTCCAGGTTTCCATGGGCAGATTTCCCCCAAAATCAGGCAGGTGGTGCCCCAAAATTCCTGCTGGGAGCTTGGGTTGGATCACTTGAACAACCCTCCATGTTCTGTCTGTTCAGGATTAAATTCAATGAAATTAAATTCAATGAAATTAAATTAAATTAAATTTAATTTCCAGATTTGGCATTCCAGTCCCACCACACAAATCTTCAAACCACTGAACAAGTGGAATAGAAAACTTCCCCCAAACTCCATGGGATTTATTTAGCTCTGAGTATCCCAGAAAAAATCCCAGTATTTCATATATTCCACAGGACAGTTGTGGAATTCTGCAAGGAAACTGAGCATCTCCTCAGAAATCCAGTGTTTCTAAAGGAAAAGGGAATCCATAATTAAAATTAAACAGGAATTTTGTGGCTTCACGGACAACATGGGAAATGTGTTGAAGTTCAGAATTGAGCATCACAAAGCTATTTACTGCTCCTAAGATGATGTATGAAAATTATTAAAAGGAAAAAAATTATAGACACACAAATAAGAATTAGCAACACCTTAAAATGGAATTTAATTTTAAAAAAATTCTGAGGGAGCATCATAAATACCTGAGTGGAAACCTCCATGTCAGTCATCAGGTGATTTTCCTTATAAGAATTGTGTAAAAAAGTGGAAATCCTAAGATGATGTATTAAAATGATTAAAAGGAAAGACAATTTATAGGCACATAAATAAGAATTACCAACACCTTAAAATTCCATTTTAAGGTGTTGCTAATTCTTTAAAATTTTAAAATTTTAAAGAATTTAAAATTTTAAAGAATTCTTTAAAATTCTTTAAAATTTAAAATTTTTAATTTTAAAAAAATTCTGAGGGAGCATCATAAATATCTGAGTGGAAACCTCCATGTCAGTCATCAGGTGATTTTCCTTACAAGAATTGTGTAAAAAAGTGGAAATCATGTGCCACTACTGGGTTTAATCACACTAATGAAACATTCCTGGCAGGTTCATTTCTGCTGAACACAGAATGAATAAAAAGATGAAAAAGTTACCATTGTGAGGGGGGAAAAAACCCAGAACAAAAGCATTTGAGTACTCAGAGGGAGAAGTAAAACACATCAGGTCCACTGAGCATTTAGTGACAGTTTAATACCAGCCTGAATAACTCACTTGAGGTTCTTCTGACATCCACAAGTGCAATTTTATTAAGAATTGGTTTCTAATAATGCATAAATCCTGTGCTGCCACACACCCACCCATCTGCTCATCTGCACCTCCAGACTTCAGAACAAACACCGGGGAAGGGAGCAGCAATTTTTAAACCTCACTGCACGACTCAGTGCTGGAGTTATTCCTCCACATTAACTCATGCTTAACAGCAAGTTCAGAAAGAATATCAATTAGGGATCAAGGACTAGAATTTTTCTGAAAGAAACCCAAAAAAAGATGAGGAAAGTTTGTCTTTTTAACTGAAATATTTGCACATTCAGCTCTCCCCCAGGTGTGGGAGGTTCACCTGCCCAGGGGATCCCAGCTCCTGCTTTGGGTTGGGTTTATTCCATGTAGATTCCCTGTTTTCCATGTGTGATCCAGACCTGCTGCAGGGCACAGAATCCCTGCCAGTGGCCATGGCTGCTCCACAAGGACATTTTCCTGATGTTTGTTACTCCAAATCCAGTGTCCCCTCTCAGTAAGGCAGAGCAGGTGACAGCAGCACAGCAGCAAGCCCAGCCCCATCCCACCCAGGAAGGTCACAAAACGTGGAATGTTTAGGCAGAAAAGCTCCACAAAGTGCGGGAAGCAGCCCAGGAAACCCTCATGTCTGCACCCCAAACCCTGCTGAGGGAACTCAGTGACCTGTGGAGCTTTTGCAGGTTTTTTCAGTGACCTATGTGGGTTTTAACTCCTTAAATGTCACACTTAAGTGTGACATTTGAAATCCACCAGGAGGGAGGAAAAGAAGAAAATATTTATGAGTTTCCTTTTCCTTTGATGTTTGACTTTGATTTAACAGGGAAATTGGCAGGCATTTTGTTGTTATTATTCCTTACCAATACTCTATTTTAAAGAAGGTAAAAAGAGAGAACTGTGGAAGGCAATAATCAGAAACTGCTCTTCAGGAAGATTTTACCTCTGCAGCTCCAGATTGCATCTTCATAATGCCCTAGATTGATTTTACAGTTCAGATGAACATGCTGACAGCCTGACCTGCAAAGAACACGAGAAAGACCCCTGCAGGTACCACAGGGCAGAGAAACAGCTGAAATGTCAGGCTGTTCATCACAAACAGGAATTTCAAATGAGTAAAACTCCTCCAGCACAGTGAATCATCCCAGAGTCACACAGCAAGCTGGGCTGCAAGGACCTCAAAGCCCATCCAGTGCCACGCTGGGACACCTCCCACTGTCCCAGGTGCTCCAAACCCTGTCCAACCCAGCCTTGGGCACTGCCAGGGATCCAGGGGCAGCTCCAGCTCCTCTGGGCAACTGTGCCAGGGCCTGCCCACCCTCCAGGGAACAATTCCAGGAGCAGGGCAGAAAAATAAACAGGCAAAACATTTGATGGAGAGGCAGCTGGTGAGCACAGCACCAGCCAGGGGGTTAAAGAGCCCCGCCTGAATTCTCAGATACAGCCAAGCTGAAGAATTGCCTTTTCCTGAGCACATTTTAAAGATGACTAACATGGAGCAATCTCTGTGGAATGGAGGATTTACACTCTTGTTGTGATGCATTTGCCTAATAACAGCTCGTGCTTCCACACTGGGGTGCAGGGACAAAGAACTCTGATGAAAATTCCTCACTTCACCTGAGGCCAGCATGTTTCCCTTCTTTCAGCCCACAAAGAAAACCATGAAAAATAAAAATGACATTCCAGAGTGTTCCTACAGGCAAAGCAGAACCTTTTACTCCCCCATCACATTTAACCCTATTAGCAGTAAGATGAGAAGGAAAGTCTTGAGGCAATAAAACAAACCCCAATTCAGAGCACCCTGTGTGCTCAGTGATTCACTGAGCTGAGTGTTCTGAGGGGACTCACTGTGCAGCAATCCACTTCCAGGTGAGCTCATCTACTGCACCAAAAAAACATCTCCAAGCTGCTAAAACAATCCAAGGTTTGGGGGATACCAAGTGCTGAAGGATTAAGTCCAAGAGAAGCATTCACAGATATCAGAAGAATTGCTGTGGTTATTTTATGGTAATATTCTGCAATTAAAAAATGCAGTGCAAGGCTGATGATGATTGATTTGGGGATAGCATGGCTGGGTACTGTGTTTGCATCAGAGAAAAGCAGGAACCATATTTTGTGTTCTTCATATGGATCATTGGAAGCACCAATGTACCTGAGGCTGCCACAGGGACAAGTGACAGGAGCAGCAAGGACGAGCCAGCTCTGCATCATCACCTCAAAATCATGGAACAGGATTTGCTGCTCCAGCCTCAGTGCTCTCTCTGACT